TTCCCACAGGATCTCGGTACTAGAAATTTGTTTGTTGTGTTTATCATAAAATTTGTGGCACCTGCAGGAAGTAAGTTCTCCCTTTGACTGCTCTGCTTTGCAGTGGTGTGTACGATTTTTCCTATTCTTTTCCGATGAATACTTGGTCAGCATCCTACGCAACAGAGCAGAAACCTCATGTGAATTTTCCTTCCATTAAGTCGATGAAGCCCGTTGTTACTTGAGACCCAGGTATTCGTGTGAACCAGAAATGTGATCATAATAATAAAAGCCTTTGATCATATCGTCTTAGCTTGCCCAGTCCTATCATGATCAGGATATTTAAAAAGGAACATCAGGAACTTTACTTACTTCTATTAGCAGATCTGTAAATTCCTCAAAGTTCAAAGCAATACTCCCAGTGGTAAGAACACTCACAAAATATGTGATCTCTGTTGTACTGTGTACGAAGTAAGACCAACAAATTTTCACTGATCTGACAATAGCAGAAAACCGACTGGATTTTGTTACCCGTAGTTTGCCGGAAAAAATATTGTCTACTTGATGTTGCTATACCATGCGTTGAGAATGTTGTAACCAAGGAGGCCGTGCAACGTAGTAAATACAAGAGTTTGGAAATCAAGATCAGCCGAATGTGGTGCATAAAAACATGAGTTGTTTCGTCTTTGTCGTTCCAATAGTTATCGAAGCTCTCAGATTCGCCTCACAACATTAATGTAAAAACTTGCCCAATCTCCCAGGCAATTCAGAAGCCTGCGAAGTGCAAGACTCGCATTTGGTACACTCTGCGTAGTGATGATGTCCGGTACATTTGACACACCTCAGTTGAAGGCCACGATTTGCCTGGGAATGCCCAAATCTCTGACAACGTTTACATTGACTTGATTATTTTTACAAGAGATTTGATTCTTTTCTGAATATTTATAACACTACAAAAAGCGGGATGTCTGGGAAGTGCAACACTCGCATAATTGGGAACATCCCATATTTTACAAGAAGTATTCTAAAGACACTAACAGTTACTGGATCTGCTCCTTGAGAAGAGGTTGAAATCTGAAGTAGATTTTAAAATTGTCCGATAGATACAAGTTTAGTCGCGAATTAAGGTGACGATAATAATAAATAATAATAGTTGGCCCAGTGCCGCAAACGGTTGCGGCAGCCTCCGTCTGCGCCGAGGAAGATGCAGATTGCAGTCCTGGCTAGACATGTTTGTATTTGTGATTGTCTCTTCACCCATCATCATCATCCCATCATCTCATAATTCACACTTCACGAAGAAACAACCTTGTCATACTGTGGTATACACCTGAAAAGCTGATCCTGGAAAAATTACTCACGTTAATCGTGTATTGTGGTCAGCAATGGCCTACAGATGGCCTACAGATTAGTAATGATAAACAATACTACAACAAAGTTATAACAATGTAAAAAATGAGAAATTCTTTAAAGGAGACAATTCGTCAGCAAGAAGGTCTTTGTCCGACATCTTCAAGGAAACACTTTCATTCTAATTGAAAGCACGAAAGCCTCCAAAAGTTCTTTTGCTCGCCATTTGCAAATGTCCGATGGCAACTCGTCAAGATTTCCATTACGCAAACATGTCGCATTCCGCTTTGGAGGCACTTGTATACCCTATTGAGCGTACGAGAGTTCTTAGAAGGCGTCCGACAACATTGGCCTGGTCACGATCGCTCTCGGCTTGCAATTGCCGCGCATAACAGCTTTTGAGCGCGCTCCTCACGGCTATAAATATGTGGGAGAAATTATAGGGCGAACGACGCCTTCTGCCGGAAGACAGCGTTAAGTGTGTTATCTGAGTGAACACAAAAGGGAAATGACTTGTGAAATATGGCCTACACCTCATAGACATTCGTAAAAGTTCGATTGTGCAGACTTCAGTGGGTGTGACTTCAGTATGAATAAAACTGTGTGATTCTTGCAGATGGAAACTATTAATTGATTTGCAGTGTTATTTCGCCACTGGAATTACTGTTAACTGGCAATCTGTACTGGATGTTTCACACAAAACACCCTTAAAGTAAACAGTAGAGTTAGTTGATGATGACTGTGTGGTTTGGGTGAACCCAGCAAGGAAAGGACATGCGAACTAAGGAAGATGTCTACCCACATGATCCGATATTTCACTCGTGACTTCACCACGAGGAGGGTTGTTACAAGCTTGCGAATTTAATATATTATTTGGGTTTAACTTTACCTTTATGAAATAGGATATTTTGGTTTGGATACTTAAAATGGGTTTAAGTAAAGCTACAATATGTCTATTCTGAGGAAAAGCCTGCAAAATTCGCAATCTTCAGGCATTATGTATTCAGAGCTGGACGTTAGCAACTTAAGCTTGGGGAGGATTATGCAACTATTCACGATGGTCGAGAACCACTGAGTTGTAGTTTCGTAATCTCATTTTCTGAGGAAAATTTTTATACACGAGGGCCCGTAAACGAAACAATGCAGTCGGTGGCGCAATTGAATATATTTCTGATAAAACGGGCCACAATGCGATTGGTAATAGAAGGTGAACGTTGAGATAGCTTTGTAGTCTAATTACAGAGATAAGCTTTAAATTGTTCGGAGATGTGTGAATATGATCAAATTTCAATTTCAATTCAATTTTGTTAACCCACAGCTAATTATTAATATTGTCGTAAGAAAATGAACTTGAATATGACAATATTATAAAAACATAATTCAGGTATTCATCTCTTAAATTCACAAATACATACTTTAATTGGGATGTAAGAAATACAGTGTTTCGGAATATAGATATATAGTATACAGAATATAGAAATATAGTATTTTACCGTAAATACTATGTCTGAATGATAAAGCGGTATTTTACAATTTTTCAAACGAATTGTCTCACTTTCGAAGAAAACTCAGAATTTGAACAGAAGAAGTGAATGTTTTACCCCGTACATCGTTTTTAATAAACCTGTGCTAAAAATATTTTTCAGCGTAGATCCACTTGGAGAAATAATGCACTGAAGCAAATAACCTATCCCTGCTGGATCCATTACTTTTAGTCGTTAAGCAGTCATAATACATTGCAATCTGGATCCCCAAAGACATTGTCGCGCATTTTAGTAGTTTTAAACTTGTAAGTGAAACTGTAGTATCATCTGAGAATCTTACACATAACTTGACGGTGACAACCTTGCTATGGATAAACATTACCAGAAATACCCGCAGTGCATGTTTTAGACTTAACCTTTGATATATCGCGAGTGAGGCATTCTGGGTGTCACCTGCGACGTAAGGAAAGCATGTACCTTTCCGCGTGGGTGCCACGCGAAGCGTTTAAAAGCGTCGCGGCGCGCCCAGTCCTTCTCCGGTTGACGCGCTGCGAACTTACATTTTACTTAAACGAGCGCCCACTCGCGCAGCAAGTGTAACGGCGCCGTAATCCTCGATTACGCGGAGTAAAGCCGTCCCTCCATAAATTTCATAAATCGTGCGGCCTGCGAAGATTAGAATTGTAAATGCGCGCGGGACACACACTCGGCGCACGAGAGTGAGGAGCAAAGCGGAACGGAGCGAAGAGGAGCCAGGGGGCGGCGCCGCGACGGGCGGACGCGGGCGGTCGCGGGCGGTCGCGGGCGGTGTGTGAGTGAGAAACGTGTAAGCGTGTAAGTAGCGGGGGGCCACAGGTAGTCGCGGGCGGTCTAGTGAGAGCGCGGTTAGACGCTGCCGGTCGCGGTCGGTCGCGAGCGGTCGCGGGTGGTCGCAGGCGGTTGCGGGCTGTCGCGGCCGGTTGCGAGTGGTCGCGGTCGGTCGCGGTCGGGGGGGGGGCCACAGGTGGCCAAGGGCAGTCGCGAGAGGGCACGAGTGGTCTCTGGTGGTCTCTAGCGGTCGCGGGCGGTCGCGCGCGGTCGCGGGCGGTCGCGCGCGGTCGCGGGCGGTCGCGGGCGGTCGCGGGCGGTCGAGGGCGGTATGTGGACGAGAAGCGTGTAAGTGTCAACGAAGGAGGGAAGAGGCGGACAGAGGACGGGCCGAGGTCCACGTAGGGTGAGTGGTAGACGCTGGTGGTAAGTGGTTAGTAGGTAGTTTGGGTGAATAGATGGTGAGAGGGGCGTATACCGCGACTGCATGCCGCGGTCAACTTTTTGTACGGTGAAAGTATTGATTTTCACGTTCACCGTAATGTACTTCGTATTATATTGATCAGTTATAGTTGATCCACGTGTACATGTTTTCAAGAAACATTTTCATGCCCTTTATTGAGTACTACCAACGTTGGAAACCACACAAGTTTGTGGAAGCAAAACGTGAAACATAAAGGGCATCATCTTTCCCTGCTGCCTAAGCATACAAAGTCCTAAAGATCCTGCTACGAAATTCAACAGTGTTCGAGTTTTTTTCTGGCCTGATGCGAAACTTCTATTTGCGCTATCTATTTTAAAAATGGAAGCGGAACATTTTCTTACTTCTTACGAAATCCAGATTGAATTAAACGGACGCAGTCGGGTTGTGACTTTTCAGGAAACGAAAAGTAAAAGGCGATTAGCTGGGAAACGTAGGTAAGGGAAACTGACCACGGCGATGCATTCAGACGATTCCCGGTGAGAGGGAAAAGATTGGAAGAGCAGGGGGGGCGTGTACATGGAGTATGCCGTGGGCAGGCAGAGAGAGGGTTGATGAGGCCGCGAGCTTATCTGAAACTCGCTCAGTTCTGACTTTCACACAGATCTGATACAAAACTGAATGCACTTAAGAAATCGCACTCATTCTCGCACAAAAGGGTGACTCGCAAGTTTTTGAGACTCCCGAAAAACTGAGACTCCCGAAAAACTGAGACTCCCGAAAAACTGAGACTCCCGAAAAACTGAGACTCGCCCCAAACTTGGATATCTCATTTCAACGAGTACGCGATGCACGCTGGAAGGAACGCCCTGCGGGTATCCCACGCGAGTTGAGCGGTTGCGGGTGGTCGTTGGCGGTGGCGGGCGACCGCAGGCGATCGGCGGCGCCGACACGCGCCAATGCTTCGGCTGCCGCGTAATTCATCGGAGGCGCTCGCGGGCGGTCGCGGCCCGAGACGTTGCAATTACGCGCGGCGCCCGCTGCGATGGACGGCGCTCGCGCGACGCGAGGAGGTGGGTGGTGCCGCGGAGCGCTGGGTGGGCGCACGGAAGGCAACGGGGATAAAGGAGCGGTAGATGTGCAAATCGGAAATTGACACGATGAAATGCGCGCTGTTTGGGCTTTAGTTTTGTCGTTATAATTCGAGGAGGCAATAGATTTGTTCAGAGGATTCAAGAGCGGATCTGACGGCCTCAGCTTCCCCAATAATAAAGACGTAACTATTGTTGACGTGATAAACTCGTGTGACGACGTTATTATATATTCGACGATATTATTATTCGCGTATGGGCCAACTCTAACCACGCGTCCATCCTGATCCTGCTGCAGTAGGTGCAAGTCCCTCTGTGTGAGTGTGTGTGGGGAGGAATCAGCAGTTTTGCTGAATCCCATTTTTTATCCCCCAAAGTTGTTAGCCCTGGAGGTATAGACGATGAGATGATGATGGTGAGGGATAAAACGGCACACACAAGTAGACAAACACAAATACACCCATGTCTCAGGCGGGACTGGCACCCGCTATGGAAATTAATGGGATGGGTAGAGACTACGCATCTAATTACGCGTTGTCTTGAAGGAAAAGTACAAAAGTTTTTCAGTTTAAACAAATGGAAATCGGGAAATACAATAATAATAATAATAATAATAATAATAATTCATCAAATAATTGGATCAAATGTCCAAGATCGTTAGGGCAGTAGTGCCGTAGCGATCTTGGACCGAACGATCGCGGGTTGGAGTTCCGCTTTCGGCATGTTTGTATTTGAGTTCGCCCTTTCACCCCCTGTCGTCCCCATGTCATGTCATCTTCACAGTAACCATAACGTTAAAACTAGTAGTGGTCGCTAATGACCTAGATGTTGATGTGACCTTAAATAACAAAAAAACGATAGTTTTACAGCAGATTTTTTATGAAATTAGTATATCTTAGATTGTGTCTTTAGAGGACCTAGATTTATTTATTGCAATCACTTAAATCAAGATCACAAAAATGATGGCATTTCAATTATTGAGAGAGATCTTATGGTTCCTGTTACGTCGGTATTTAAGATTTCCATGAAAAAAATATCAAATGCCTATTTCGAAATGATCATTACATTTCGTACAACACTGAGTAGCACTGTAACGCAAACTAAAACGAATCTTTTTAATTCCTTTGATTGTCCCGGTAAATATAGAGATAAATAAATTAATAGTTCGGTGATATTTTTATGGATCTTAATTGGTAAATAATCAATTTTTCCTCTCTACTACTTTCCCGCGGGCCTCGAGAGGTGGACATGTTTGGAGCCGTCCCAGTAGGTGGATTCGAAGGCTGCGGTTGCGAATCTAGCAGAGGTGAAAACGGTGCTAGCTGCCTCCCACACGAACAGAAATGGGTAAGGTACTCATCCCTCGTGTTTTGACATCTTTGAGAGATACACCTTACTTTTAGAAGGTACATTATTTCTTAAAATTTGTTATGACATGCCAGTAAGTTTAGGATTTGTACACAGTATGTTTTGTTATTTTGCTTTACTTGCAACATAAGTAGTAAGTGGTCAGTCTTCCCGACTTCTGGTACCACCAATTCGTGATGTTAGATCCCAAAAATTATCACTGATAAGTGTTATTTACAAAATAAATATATTTTTAAATTACTGATCAGAGAATCATAACTAGTAAATATTTAAATATTTATTATTAACCTCATTTTAGTTAATAAAAAACGTTGAAATGTCTTTATAATAAATCTGAAAAGACAGGGTACTTTTTTTACTTATAAAGAGTTTTAGTTACTTGGCAAGAGTGTTTCATTGTTTTGGTTAACCAAACCAGATGTCAGAGAGAGAGAGAGAGAGAGAGAGAGAGAGAGAGAGAGAGAGAGAGAGAGAGAGAAACAGACCGACAGAGAGGGGGCACAGACAGGAGGGAATAGGGAAGAGCGAGAGAGGTGGAGAGATCAGAAAAAATTTTTATTCTGATCTTTATAAAAAATCTTTATTTTTCAACAATTTATAATTTAGAGAATTTTTATTGTAAATGACGGTTACATTTTATGCCTAATTTATCTCTGTTTGTTTGTAATAAGTTTATGTATTTTTGGCTTTATTAGTAGTAAAGCAAAGTTGTATTAATGAGTCAATAGTTTTCAACGAAAAATGTTAAATTTTTTCGGTTCGCAATATGTCCAAAATAATCGGTTGGCGACCGCTGGCTTCCTACGCCTCATGCAAAGAAGGCGATCAAAGGCGTCGTAGCGTGGTGTGGAGGGGCGTGGTTGTTCGGCCGAGATGTCCGCGCGCGCTGACGGAAACACGCGGGGAGCAAGGAGCTGGCTCCGCTTCTGCCATGTCGCCACACAGCATCGCCGCGCCGCCCGGCAGCACTCGTCGCCTATTCCCCGTCGTGACAGCGCCGACGCCCCGGACTGCACAGTGGCGCCCAGCCATCGCTGCGATTAGCGTGCGCGATAGCGAACTCGTTCTTGGGCGGAGCGCGGTGGCCTGGTGAAGTGTTGGGTGGTTGAAGTGCCTCACTATATATTGCTCAATTCAAAGGGCAGAGCCTGATTATAGTGTAGTTTTGGTGGTATTTCACCTAAACTACACAGTGGCATTCAGCCATCACTACCATTAGCATGCGTGATAGGGAACTCGTTCTCGGGCGGCGCGTGGTTGTCTGATGAAGTGTTGGATGGTTGAAGTGTCTCGAGTTTTAGGAGGTTGATCGGTGTTTGGGTAGTGTTTAAGAGGAGAACCATATATTGCTCAATTTAAAAGGCAGAGCCCGATTATAGTGTAGTTTTTTAGGGTATTTCACCTAAACTATACAGTGGCACCCAGCCATCACTATCATTAGCATGCGTGATACGAAACTCGTTCACGGGCGGCGCGCGGTGGTCTGGTGAAATGTTGCATGGTTGAAGTGCCTCAAATTTTAACAGATTGCTTGGTATTGAGGTAATGTTTGAGAGAAGTAACACAATATATTTTTCAATTTAAAAGGCAAAACCTACTTATTGAGTAGTTTCTTAGGGTATTTCACCTAGACTACACAGTGGCATCCAGCCATCGCTACCATTAGCATGCGTCTTAGGGAACTCGTTCTTGGGGGGCGTGGGGTTGTCTGGTGAAGTGTTCGATGGTTGAAATTCCTCAGGTTTTAGGAGGTTGCTTGGTCTTCATGTAATTGTTGAGAGGAGATCCATGTATTGCTCAATTTAAAGGGCAGGGCAAAATGTGTAGTTTGTTTTAGGGTATTTTACCTAAACTACTCATTGGCACTCAGCCATCGCTACCATTGTCATGCTTGAGGGAAATCATTCTCGGGAGGCGAGCGGTTGTCTGGTGAAATTTTGGGTGGTTGAAGTGCCTCGGGTTTTAGGAGGTTGCTTGGTCTTTGGGTAATTTTTGAGAGAACAATATATTGCTCAATTTAAAGGGCAGAACCTAGTTATTAAATAGTTTCTTACGGTATTTCACATAAACTACACAATGGTGCCCAGCGGTCCCTGCGGTAAGCGTACTGGATAGGGAACGTGTCCATGGGCAACGCGTTGTTGCCTGGCGAAATTAGGATCGTTGATGTTCCTCCAGTGAAAGGAGTTGACTTGTTCCTGGGGCACTGTTTGAGAAAATAATACAATATAGTACTCAATTTAAAAGGCAGTGCCTCATTATAGTGTAGTTTTAGGGTATTTCGCATAAGCTGCATTTGCCCGATTGCGCAGTTGCGCCCAACCATCGCAGCGATTAGCATGCTAGAAGGGAACTCATCCCTTGGCGGCCTGCGGTGGTGGAGAAGTGTAGGATAGTTGAAGTGATTTAGGTGTTAGGAGTGCGCTTTGTCTTAGCGTAGTGATTCGTTTCTGGACCGCGTGGAGTCGCCTACTGTATTGGAGATCATGAAAATGTCTCGGATGACAGCAGTGACAGAAACATGTTTATTCTCGGCTTTTTTCAATAAATAATAAACGAAGTTCAGAGGTTTAAGAATGGAAACTAGAATAAGATGTAGTTCTTTGTTATGCTATTTCGCGTATCCTCTTGTCACGGCGATGACGTTCTAGAATGAGCAGTGTGACCCGGATATCTATTCGACTTGAATTTGTGGAAGAAAACTTTATGCTTGACGAGGTGCTAGTGAAGTGCTGGTGGCTGAAATGTCTCAGATGGCAGGAATAAGTTTATTCCGGCTATGCGTTTTCATGAATGAATAATGTGTGTTGAATTTAATACCCAATACATATATTATACGGTACTTGTTGTTTATAAACTTCCCGTGTGTCTGAAGAGTTTGAAATTTAATGTTTTGTCAAATGTTCAGTCATGTAAATCGAAATTAAAGCGATAAAACAACGTAATAATGCATCTACCTTCAGTGACTGATAATTAAGTTACTATTTTTTCTCTCAAAATTATCTTTACTCATTAGTCCCAAATATTTACAATATTTTCATAAACTGTTTTTGAAAATCGAAAGAAGAATGTTAAGTATATATTTTTTTACTTTACATTCAGACTGAAATATCAAACCTTTGAGACACGAATAAAACTACACTGATGACCAGCATTTAACGAGAAACAAAGAAGCCTTTTTTGCATTTTGAAAACTAGATTTCAGATTTATGAAAATTACAATATTATCATTCTTTATATTTGTATCGGTGGTGAGTCATAAACATGCTAATCAACGTCCTGAAAAGTAATTCTTTGGATTTATACTTTACAGTCTCCAACTCGTCACTGCATTTGAAAAAAAAATTATGATATCCTTTCAACAAAATAGGAATAGGGTCACTTTTTTCATTGACGCAACTCATTCGCCGCGACAGATAATTGGTGACTTATATTTGATCTCATCAGAGAAGTGATTTCTTTGGAGATTTTCATTAATAACAAAGTACATTGATTATATGATGTTCTACAGGACCTGATGACTTGTGACTGAATTGTTATTAAAAGATCACTGTGCCGTTTGAAAATCATAAAACGTATTCTCTCATAAGATGATTTTTTACTTTTTGCCTTGTCAGCGTTAATTCCAGTTATGAAGTTTTCTTTGTTAACATTACTTTCGCTGAAAAACAGT